AATAAAGTCAAAATTAGCCGATGGAGTCTAAACGAAAGCTATAGAGCATAGTCTCACCTACACATGAATATAAAGAAACTCAAAAACGGAGCTCGTATGCAAAAAGATATGAATTTTTGAAGATTGGAAAATCCAAGTACGCCCCGCGTACAAGAGTACGCCCATCGTACTCGGATACAAGGCCTCGGTTCGTCCACGTCGACCCTCCGTCACCCCTTCCTCGCATGCGAGCCATGCAACATAGTAGCTCCGACGCGTAACGACTAGGTTAGACACGTACGCACGTACGCCCAGCGTACGAGGAGGTTTCAGCCTCCTATAAATAGAAACCGAAGCCTTCGGATTTTGATGCCATTTTCTATACTCTCTCCTATATTTTCCCACTTTTAAGTCTCTCGATACTACCCCGACGCCCCGGTGACGTATCCAAGTTCCAACTAAAGCCCGAAGCCCCGAAATTCTCGAAAAACTAACCTCTTTCCAGTCGAAGTGTTGCCCGCGTAAAGCCCAGTTTTTCATCAAATCGTCACTCTTACAAGTGAGTTCATACCCCCGTATTTTCATAGTTTTTACTGTTTTAAGGGGGGGGGGGGGAATACAAGTCTAACACAAGAATTTTGTGTTACAAACTAATGATTTCCAATTTGTGATAAAATGACATTAAGTCATCAAAAATATTTCAAAATATTAAACTCTTTTATAAACTTATAGTTCTCCCCAAAAAGCATATATATATATATATATATATATATATATATATATATATATATATATATAATATATATATATATATATATATAGATATATAATATTTAAAAGGTTTAGGACTGATAACTCATTTTGGGTCCTTTTTCCTTGTTTGGATGTGGGCTTATAGTATCAGTTATTTGTCCGAATGTCGTTCAAATTTAATTATATATAATTGTATATGTATATAAATATAAAAGTTATTTCATTCAGTTTAAATACCCTTTGTAACATGTTGAGCAAGGGATTACATTAAAAAACAATTAATACCAAATTCAGAAAGTATATATAAATTATAATAGGTATAATTTATGATACATAGAACATTAATTCACGATTCGAGTATACTAGAATACACCATTTTACAGGAGACAAGGGTTTCATTCAAAACTAATCAAGGATATACAACTTTCAAATACATTTTAAGAATACTAAATCAGGAATATACAATCAATCATTATTTCAGGATGATTGGGTTTTCATAACTATTATACATGTAACGTTTATATGCTTTTTATGAGTCATTTGATTCAGGTTGTTAATTAATTTAAACAATATAGTTAAAGTCCTGATATTATAACCAGAATCTCCAGTTGGGGATCGAAACAATGTGTGTATAGATCTATATTGGGATTGACAAACCCGCACTCAGACTGCTAGCTACAGTCAGGCATATACGCCTACGAGTGACATTAGAATTTGTATCAAGTAAATGAAAATTTGACCAATGTACTTTTGCCCTAATAGTATGATCAAATGTGATTCCTTTTTAAGGTTAAGATTTAAGTCTCATATGCGATATATGTAGAATTAGTGAGTAATTTTAGAAGCATATTAGAATGTATGTGTGTCCCCGTTATTAAAATGTCACCTAAGTAATATTTTTATATAATCAATTAAACATTCCTTAAGTTTAGTCAATATTGACAAGCAATTGACCGTATTTTTGAATGTCTTTCAATTTGACACCTAATTCATTGAATTCGAATAAATGCCGGTGTATAATATATAAAATGTTGATTGTTATAGCGATTAGTTTTAGTATCTCATCAAACTTTGAATTTTGTTTTTCTTCTAATCATGGAATTTTGTATAACTTTCAATTATATGAATTCGTAATTCCATTTAGTGTTAATATCAAGCTCTCAAAAATCGCCATTAAGATACCAAGTACCACAACAGGTTAGTCATTCCATACATTGTTATATCCTTTCAATCGATTGTTTTAATTTACAGATTGATGTGACATGTTATGTAAACTTCGATTTATATGGATGCAAGTTTAGAAATGAAAGTACGATGCCATTTTGTGATACACATGAAAGTATGTTGCTATTAAAGGATAAAAATGCAAATATATGATGTCATGTCCATCTTCTATCCTAATAAACAAGAATCTTTTACCGCCACTTGTGTTGTAATAAATTTCAAAATTATCAACAAAGTATTACATTGAAAATTGCTTAATGTTACAACTTAATATTATATTTTTTAAAAACTCGTGTAATACACTGGTCTTACACCTAGTGTTAAATGTTTTTAAAATTACCTGTTTACCCATCTTTTATCATTTTACCTTTTTTAAATTATTTACACTTAACAAATAACCCTTCCCTTTATTCAACTTTACTACTCTCGTCGATCTCAACACCCACTGTCTCTTCTCTCATCCAAATGAAATCTAGTCACCACCGTCATAGGTGGAATCATACATATGCGGCATATCCACCACCACTAAAACATCATTCTCCCTCACCTTCTTCCGGTGATGCATCGACAACCACCAGCCCCCTTTAATTTCCTATGGCGCTCAGGTCTGGTTCTCCGATCAACCCTCCATATAGTCCGCGGATAATAGCCAAGTACAACCCAACCCCGAAACTGTATACTACTTCGAACCTATAGCCAAGTACCAATGGATTGACCCAACATATCCACCCCTACATCACACACCTCATTTTTCTTCATCCACATACCATGGTCTACTGAATTGAGAGATGACAATAGGTAGGTCACTTCTTGGTATTCATTCAAACGATATTATGAAGAAATGAATGCATATTTTGGGATTAACATTGACATTGTGTTTGAGAGATTGGAATGTGATGGGATTAGGGATTGCAAGCATGTTCTTGTTCCAGATTCACCCTTACATCCAAAGGATGTGGTTTCTTTGTTCTCAATCAAAACTTAGTTTCTAATTTGCTTTAGGTGCATGAATTTGTATCCGTTTCTCATAAAAATTTCTTGCATTTGTACAATCACATTGCTTCGTTGAGTTCGTACATTTTGTTTCCTGCACAAAATATGTTCCATATGTCAATATTAAATTTTTCTTAGTATTAAAAAAGTGAATGACTAAAATGGTATTGTACCTGCACCACGGATATACATGTTTATCAAAAAAAAAATCTCATCGATGAATGTACATATTTAATTTGTCCTTTTAACGGATTATACTTTTAATGTTATTTAGCCTTGGTAAATAATGGATCTAAAAATAACTACCTCTAACAGGAAGGAGGTCAATTGATCCAACAATTAAAAAATTCGACCAGATGGACGTCCACTAATGATAAACAAAAAAAACTCTAATCAGTTAGTGGCTTCAGTAAAATTTTCAATTCCTAATTTCTTTCTCATACTTGACAGTTTACAATTCCATTAAAATGATTTAATATTTGTATTTCAGTTTGTTGTCCTGTTCCAAATTGAGACACACTACTAGAAAATTGGTTTAATAGCTACATCACAATCCGTAGCTATTCCGTAGCTATAAGCGGATAGCTACGGAATTGCTACGGAAAAATGCCTGTAGCATAATGGCCCGTAGGAAAATTATAGCTACGGATTAGCTACAGAATCGCTACGGAATAGCTAGGGAATTTTCCGTAGCAACTATAGCTATGGAATAGCTACAGAAATAAACAGCTACAGATTTCCTACGGAATAGTTACGGAAGTGAATAGCTACGGAATAGCTACGGAATAGCTACGGATCCAAATAGCTACAGAATAGCTACGGAACTAAATAGCTACGGAAATCCGTAGCTATTCCGTAGCTAACTTCGTTTTATTTTAAAAAAAATTAAAATTTAAAAATTTCCAATTTTTTGTCAAATACCACATTCAATTCAAATTTGTCCCAAAAACCATATAAAATACACCAAAAAACGTCCCTAATACCAAGTTCGATACATTCCATTCAATTGTCCAAAATACCATACAAAAGTAAGCACTAACAATACACACAAACAATACCAAGTGTTTACAAAATCAATTGTTCCAAATACCATACAAACTAAGCACTAGCAAAACAAACAAACAATATCAATTACAAATTCAATTGTTTCAAAATACTTATCAATCGTCCTCGGGTGGATTATCGGGGGACCACGGGATTAATTTCAAGACATATCCATCATCCTCAACCATTTCCATTTGTTGTTGTTCCATGGTAGAAACTTGCACACGCAACCTATCAACCTAAAAAATAGTAACACAATTCAATACTTAAACAATAATAACAATGTACTTTAGTTTATTATAACAATGTATTTTAGTTTATAATTATAGCAATACACTTAACTTTAAATCCATAATTGCAATGTACTTTTGTTTAATATCAATTTAATCTATACAAACAACATACAACTTAACTTTAATCCATAACTTTAAAACCATAATAACAAGGAGATTATGCTAACCTTCAAAAAAGTCAAGCCTCGTTCTATTGTGCCAATTAACTGATTAGCCCCTGCTCAAACATAATCACATTATCAAAATAAACCAAAACATAAAAAAAATCACTAATCAATAATCAAGAAGCCAATAATAAAGAAGCAATAATCATATAAACCATTTTCCAGCCAAGCCTCATTCTACTCTACAACCAATAATCAAGAAGCAAGTTACACAAACCGAAAATCAATCATTTGCTGGATTATATTATCAAATTGAACCAAAAATCAGATACACTTAGACCTAGTCTAAGCTTGCACTCGAAATCTTCACAGTAAGAAGAGAACGAAAAGAGATTTTTTTTGCTGAATTTCAAGTCCCCTGACTTGGATTGCTTTAAATGAACCTAAAAGAAAACTAATCACGCATGAAGCCGAAATCCAGAAACACTCAAAACAAACAAAGCAATCAGTGACGACGAGAAATGAATCCTAACCCAAAACGAAAACCTAAGTGAAATTAAACCAAAAAAAACTTACTTGAAAGATTGATGATGATGGCGATGACGAGTAGATGACAGCGACGGGAAGGAGATGCCGACGACGGCAAAGAGATGACGGCGACGTAACTCCGGCGGCGGCAGAAAGAACAAACTCCGGTAAGAAAATGACATCGAGTGAAAGAGAAGATCGAAGGCAACGAGGGTTTGAGTGGGAGGTGCGACCGTCCGAGTGATAGAGAAGAGGGAAACCAAATGAAGGAAATGAGCGGGATATTAAAAAAAATCGGCGTTTGAGCCCGCTTAATGGAGGCAGAGGCGGCCAAAAAAAAATGAAACCCTAAATTGGAGAAGGCCAAAAAAATATGAATAAAAGGGTGGGGTAAGACTCGAACTCAGGGTGACTGTGTATATAACCAACGACACTATCACTTGGCCGGGAATGCCACATCCTTACTTGTTCTGTCTACAATTGTTTTTGACCACTTCCATTTCCGTTGTTGTTGTTGTTATTATTATTATTATTATTATTATTATTATTATTATTATTATTATTATTACCTACGGATTAGCTACGGAATATTATTTCCGTTAGAATTCCGTAGCTAATCCGTAGCTAATTACCTACGGATTAGCTACGGATTTTTTTTTATTTTCGATTTTTCGGACACCAAACGTCGTTTTGTTCGCTCCGTTTTTTTCACACCTCTACTATACATGATTATATATATTTTCACAAATTTATAGCTATTAATATCATTCACAAAGCTGTGTGCACATATGGGATCCATTGCTCGTTTAGTGGTTTAACATTATAATGCTTATGAATACGTTCAGATACATCTCAAAAACACGTATACATACATACACACACACACACACACACACACACATATATATATATATATATATATATATATATATATATATATATATATGTACACATATACCCAAACTCATTCATGTATATAAATATACATATACTAACATAATCCATCACAAGTTGGTGAAAAGTATAGGCATTACAATGTTAAACTGTGAAACGAGTACTTGATCCCGAAGGGGCACACGACTTTATAAACGATATTAATATCTATAAGTTGGTGAAAATATAGATAATCATGTATAGTAGAGGTCTGAAAAAAACGGAGCGAAAAAAAACCAAGTTTGGTGCCCGAAAAATCAAAAATAAGAAAAATCCGTAGCTAATTAGCTACGGATTAGCTACAGAATTTTCTTATTTTTGATTTTCGGGCACCAAACTTTGTTTTTTTTTCGCTCCGTTTTTTTTAGACCTCTATTATACATGATTATCTATATTTTCATCAACTTATAGCTATTAATATCATTTATAAAGTTGTGTGCACATACAGGATCCATTACTCGTTTAGTGGTTTAACACTATAATGCTTATGATAACGTTCACATACATCTCACAAACACGTATACATACACATATACATGTACACATATACCACAACTCATTCATGTATATAAATATACATATACAAACATAATCCATCATAAGTTGGTGAAAAGTATATGCATTACCATGTTAAACTGTGAAACGAGTACTTGATCCCGAAGGGGCACACGAATTTATGAACGATATTAATAGCTATAAGTTGGTGAAAATATAGTTAATCATATATAGTAGAGGTGTGAAAAAACGAAGCGAAAAAAACGACGTTTGGTGTCCGAAAAATCGAAAATAAAAAAAATCTGTAGCTAATCCGTAGCTATTTAGCTACGGATTAGCTATGAAATTCTAACGGAAAGCAAACTCCATAGCTAATCCGTAGGTAATTAGTGTCTGTAGGTATTCCGTAGCCATTCCGTAGCTACTTAGCTACGGAATAGCTACAGATTAGGCTTTTGTAGCTATTCCGTAGCTATGTCGTAGCTAATTAGCTACAGAATAGCTACGGAGTAGAATCCGTAGCTACTCCGTAGCTATTTCGTTACTAAATTAGGGCATCCCATTTTGTAGCTTATCCGTAGCGATTCCGTGGCTTATTAGCTACGAAAAATTTCCGTAGCTATTTTCCGTAGGAAAACCCAATGTTTTCTAGTAGTGACAGTGGAAGAAGAGGTGAGAAAGGGTAGAGCCGTGGTGGTGTTTTGGGAAAAAGATCAGATGAGTGAGGAATAACTGTGCTTGATTTTGAAACCACAAGGACCATCGTTATAACTATTTCCAAAGATATCCTGAAAGTGTCATTTTTTGCAAACCGCATTGACCATTTGTGAAATTTTGTCTTTTAATAATTTTGGCCCAAGGACACAAAAATCTTTTTACATAAGACTTAACAGAAGTGTTAACCAAAAGCACCAACCTAGTAATGTAGTGTCTTTCAACGTTGTCGTTAGGTTGCCATTTTTTAGAAACAACAGGTGCTAATAACATTGTTTTTGCTATAAATACAGCTGTTTTTTGGCAATCTTTTAGGATTTCAGCAACTATAATACAACTCCACTGATGATGTATTTTTTACAGCAAGTCATTCGCTCTCCTTTCTCTCCTGCGATTTTGCAACAACAAAATGCCAATTTGCGTTTATCGGTTCTTCTACAGTTGTTGGAACGAACGGTGGTAATCTGCATTAAACCTTGGGATTTTATGTTGAAGCTTGCAACCTAGAGCTAAGTAAAAACCTTTAAGGAACGGAGTCATTCCGTGCAGTTTTTTCAAGATTAGGGAACATCACATATCACATCAGGTTGGTTTTAATTTTTTGTCTTGTTTTAATTTTTTCTAACAATCCAGACGGAACTTGGTAATTATTTAACAATTGAATTTATTATCCGCGACAAATTGACATATAATTCTCAATATTATTTGTCGATTTGATTATTCGTGTATTTACAACAACTTAATCGCACGAGAGATCAACAATTACTCGAAAATTCTAGTATATCTCACCCCACTTGAATTAACCACCAACTTTTTTTAAACAGTGAACTTGAGGAAAACATGGTTTTGCTTCATGCTTTTTATTTCCATCTAAATTAACGATTCAAAATAGTTACGGTTAGCATGTATATAAGGAGCCATTGGCCATTCATTTGAGAGACACGCTTCCTTGTTTCATTTAAGTTATTTTATTCTTGGTGGATTGATTAATCAGGTACTCTTTGACGAAGATGAGGAAATTGTCGAGGTTGGTGGATCCGTTGGTAGTAAAAGTGGTTATCAAGTAATTTGACAAACAAGAGGAAACATGGACCTTTTGGTCATGCAACTGAAGATGTTTTTTCTTTACCATGGCACAAAGGCTCATTAGTTGGGTTTTATGGGCTTGCTGGCTATTACATTGATGCCATTGGTGTGTATCTAAAAGCCTATGAGGAAATCATACGGGTTGGAACATGGGGGAAAAATGAACCTGGAACTCCGCAAAATGTTTGGTCCTTCCAACTTGAGAAAAAACATCATCTGAAGAAGATCACCATTGATCATGGTGATCTGATATACTCTCTCATCTTCACCACACAATGTGGAGACTCAACACATACTACTGCAAAGTTTGGTGGTTGGAATGGTGGAGAGACAGTTTCTGAGGTAAACAATTCATAAGTATTTAATCTTCAAGTTTCTTTATAATGATTGATATAACATGTCTCTTAGTATCCTTAGTTATATCTCTTTGATATGTTCAATTTGTCATTCATGGTCAGGTAATATTTGAAGCTGACGAGGAAATAACAGGCATCAGTGGAACAAGTGCATTATCAAGGGGAAGTGTTCCTGACTTACCTATAATATCATCAATATCATTCATCACAAACAAGAAAACTCATGGACCTTTTGGTAACGTAAGAGGAACGCCTTTCCCTGTACCATGGGATGGTGGTTCTTTTGTTGGATTTTACGGGCTTGCTGGCTATTATCTCGATTGCATTGGTGTCTATTTGAAAGCTTGAAAGTTTGAAATAAGGACCAAATAACCTTTGAAATACGTACGTACTATGAAATAAGGAACATATAACCCTTTGAGGTTATCATGTCTATTCAAAGGTTGCCGGCTATTACTATGTATGTTATGCTACTGCTAGCTACATTGTGTTTTATAGTCCGAAAATGATAGCCATGTATTCATTATCATATCATATGCTCTATCAAGTTATTTTGAAATAAATTTATCCAAATAAATTATCTACGATGGATGATTTCATCAAGTCCCGGTCCAGATCATGCTACCATTTTGGTTTTCTTATCACTGATTTCAATATATATATATATATATATATATATATATATATATATATATATATATATACCATCTTATAAAGAGTTTATAAATGTGGGCCTTAAAAATTTAAGATATTGTCTTAAAAAACAAGGAGATAAGTTCTGGACCTTTAGATCTAGAATGAATGGTTACGATTTTGCTATTTATAATCCGTGTGAAAAAGTTTCAACCAATGAGAATCAGGAAACACATAAACATGTATGCACACGGAAATAAGGTAATTTACAACTTGCCCTAATCTTTCTTTCGTTCTCTTTCCACCGTTCAAACACATTCTTCCTTTCGGAAGCCATAGAAGCTACAAAACTCTCCCCCTCCTCCTCTCAAAAGCCATTAACGACGCCACAAAAGTCTCGAACAAATCCCTCACTGTTCGTCACGACAGTCGTTACACAAACGACTTACGTACATTAAACCCATCAGCGAATGTGCATGCAAAATCTCCTTCCTTTTGTCTTGTTTTTACTGATTTTAGTGTGGGTTCGATTTCATGTGCTAGGGCTAAAAAAATATTGAAGTCTTCCAGGATTGTACCGAATAAAGAGGAGAAAGGTTCGTTTTTTTTACTTGGTTTGATTTATGAGTTTTCTTCTGAAGAATGTTGAACGAATCGTCTTTTTTCATGTCCAAAGAACTCAAACTTCAGTCCAAATCTCCTTCTTTTTGTCCTGTTTCTTAACCGATTTTGGTGTGGGTTTCGATTTTATGTGCTAGGGCTCAAGTAATCTTGAAGTCTTCCAAGAGTGTGCCGAACAAACTAGACAAAGGTTATTTTTTTAGTTAGTTTGATTTAAGAGTTTTCTACTCAAGAATGTTGAAGAACCACGTTTTTTTCAGGTTCAAAAATCTGGACCGTACTATCCCATGATGGATGAACGAACCTCTGATTTTACTTCGTGTTTTAGAATATTTACAGGTATACTTCTGTTTATTGCTTTTTTTTGAACGAACCATTATAGCCTATGTTGTTATTTTTATTGTAGTTTTTGTTTCTATCACGACCCTTATTAGTTCGATTTTACACATAAAACTTCTGATTTTGCGATTTATTCTTCTATTGTGTATTTGAATTGCAAGCAGATCAAGAAGGCATGATATCAGATTTGCACCAACAAAGTTTTATATTATTTAGGTATTAATTATTGGTGTTTATTTAACTTCAGTTAAATCAGATATATATTTTTCTTCGTTATTAACTTCAAAGTTTATGTTTATTTTTTTTCAGATCTGATGAAAAGGGTGTGATTAAATGTTATAGAAATACTTATTGAAGGTTGCTGGTCTTTTTCTAAACTCTTCACAAATTTTCTAAGGTTTTTTTACGTGATATCATTATAAAATTCAAACTTATAAGTAAATCATGTGTTTATGAAACTTTTTTACCCATAAAAATGGCTTTGTACTTTCATTTTAGTCTATATGATCTTATTTCTTCCTTTGTAGATACAAAGTAAGAAATATCAATGATACTTTAAATGGCACCTATATTTGATTTAACGAACAAAAATGATTGGTTTGTATTTCACGCTTTAAAAAACCAAATCCGAGAATTGCTATATAATAACATCCTACTTTACGGTATATGATTGGATCCAGGTAAGATTTTACAGAAATCTCATGTGTATGAGGTCGCAACTTATGATATCGACTCTCACCTACTCATAATCTATTTTGATTTCTAAAAATTGGATTTATGTTGAATATGACAGATATTTGTTTTCAGTCTGAAGATTCATGAGTCTTGAGTAAGGGACGGGTAACCACCAAGAAAGGTTGTGTCTTCTAACTTGAAAGATACAATGTTTTAATAATAATTTGCGTCCACGTAAAACCAATATTGTTTTGCTTATTTATTTTGTAAAGAAATCTTGATGTTTTTGTTTATGTTTCAGATTAATGATGATGGAGTTGAAGATTTACTGATGACCTAATTATGCCAATACATATGAGTTACTGAGAAGCCTTTGTTAAGAAATCTTGATGTTTTTATTTGGTTTCGTGGTTGTGCAGTATCCAGTTATGGAAATCAGATGCATCCATGAAAGGTTGCACTTTAAAACAAAAGGTGCCATTTTTAACGCTGTATTTTTGTTACATTTATAGAAATTCATTAACATGGTCACTAAAAGGGTGTAATTTGTTATTTCTGATATTTACCCCTTCATCATTTAGATAAAAACAGGGGAAAGCTTGAAAAGATTTGATATATAAAGAATGATGAGGTTTAGTTGATTGGAGATAGAAAGCTATTGTCACCCCTGTTCAAGATTAAGGGTAATTACGTAATTCTTTCAACATTACACTTTAATAAAGAGTAAAAGTAACCTAAGTCTAAAGTTTTCTTCTATTTCTATTACAGGAAGCTATTGGGCATTTTTTACTGTGGTGGTGGTTGAAGGAATAACCAAGGAGTTATCAGACTAGGCAAGAACTTATCAGATCTACCACAAGAAAAAGAAAGAACTATGTGAGTTGATCTTTTCTCTGATTTACAACATTAATTATAATCAGTTTAATACAAAAAAAAAAATCTTTCAAGGTTATTATATTGCACTAACTTACACTTTATATATTTTCTTTTTTTGGCTATGAAAACATTACTACACTGGTACATTTCAAGTAAAATGCATTCGATGTACATTTCAATTTTTTAAGTGGCGGGGAGCCGGCATAGGCGCCTTTGTGGTGTATGGTTCTAACTTTCATGATCGATTTCTCAACTTCTAAGGCTCCCGTTATATTTCACTCTCTCTACTCCTAGGCTCATTTGATATGTTCAAAGTTATTTTTGTAATTTTTGTTAGTTACCGGTTATGGTTATATTAAAATAAGTGGCCATACCTCACATGTTTTCTTTAATCTTAAAATCTTCTATTTTCATAAACACACCATCCGATACTAAAAATTCATAGATATACATAATCTGTTTTTTTCTTGTTCATCATTCATGGAAACAGTGAGACAATCTTTGGTAATTTTTTTGTTCCATTGTATACTCATTGAAATTGTGTAACATGTAATTCACTATCATTTGTTTTATAAAATTTCAGGAGTTTATGGTGAATTTCGAAGGATTGGAAGGGATTTCCACTTAAAAAACGCCACTAAGATTGGTATCAAGTTGTATTTTCTATTGGATCTTCAACATGTTCTTTATCATTGTTTAATATTTTCTTTTCTAGATTTCTATGGTAATATAATTGTGTTCTTCTAATTAGACTTTTAGGTCGGAGATGTAAATGGGTCGATTTTAACAAGCAATCAAGGAAGACACATGTTATATACAAGAAAACTATATGCTTTAGGAAATATTTATTTGAAATCTTCTTTAGTTTTGCTTTTTTGCTTATATGATTATTATAATTTTTAGATATGAAGTGGTTGATTATATTGATATTTGAATTATTATTTTATTTAGTTTGAAATAAAAACTGACTAAATTACATAAATGGTCCTTGTGGTTTATGTATACTACACCATATGGATCATTTTTATAATGTAGTCTAAAAAATAAAAAAATAATAAGTTGTTAGATACCGGTTGAAGAAGCATTTCCTACGTCCTAGAAATCAATATAATTGGTTTTGGTTTGGGTTTCAACATTGAAAGAACAAGTGGTTTTCATATCTAGACATTTTAGCTGGGTACCTGACGACCAGTTATACATGATGGGTTCGGTTGAAAAAATTATTAAACTTGATCGGATTTTTTTGGAATGATTATGCATGCTTCTTACTGAAATTATAGATACATACATCATTTGTGAGGCTTATTGGCTCAACCATGTGGGCCCAAGAGGGAAAACATTGAGTAAGAAAAGACACAACGAATCCAACAACTATCGAAACTGTATTCCAAGTTAAAGCAATATGTGGTTTTGTATCAATAGATGCATAATATAATCTTAATTGACGTAGACATAGTTGCATAAACTAATCATATATTTTATAACCAAATCTCCACCTGATAATAATATGCAAAAAAGGAAATTATTTGTTGCGGCAGCATTGCGTATTTATTCCACTAGAAATAAAAAAGAGAAAAAAAAATGAAATACAATGAAAAAAGATAAACACTAGAAATAAAAAAACAGAAAAAACTAAAAATACAATGAAAAATAAAATAAAACAAATAGATATAGCGTAGCTGAAACCAATAGTTTTATCAATTTTACAAACAATTTTTTTGATCGGTTTCGAGGTTAGCAATCCCAATAAGTTTCGAGTTAGTCGTTCTTGACAAAGAACAAGCATGACTAATCGTCATTCGGAGCATTTCGATAAGCCATGCTTGAAATGATTCCGAAAATAAAATAATCATCGTCAGTAAACTATTCACCAAAAATAATAATTGTTGCATGGACACTATTCATCGAAATGAAACTAACTGTCGTCGCCGCATCGCGCGGGTACCCCACTAGTATATATATATATATATATATATATATATTATATATATATATATATATATATATATATATATATATATATATATATATATATGGTTAGGTTTATGTGAGACACCGTGAGACGCAAAACTATCCACTCATTTTGTAGATAAAAAAATATTTTTAAAATGCAAAATAATTGAAAATTTTCGAAATTTTTTTTAAATATTATTTTCGTCATTTATATTTTCCAAAAAAAAAAATTACCGTTTTTTTATATATTA